AGCAGTTACTTTCAGACTTTAAGATGATCAGTCTGGCTGCTGTAACAGAATCTGTAAACAATCAAAACCACACCAAGCCTGACAGCAGAAACAAGTAGAAAATAGATCAAAAGCTGCCCTGCAGAAAACTTGGGGATACTGGTGGATGAAAAACTAGACACAAGCTGGCAATGTGTACTTGCAGCCCAGACAGCCAACTGTATCTTGGGCTGCATCAAAGGCAGCATGGCCAGCAGGACAAGGGAAGGTGATTCTCCTCCCACCTGGAGCCCTGGGTTCCTCAGCACAAGACAGACATGGATTTGAAGAGGGTCCAGAGGAGGGCCAAAAAAATGGCCAGAAGGTTGGAGCATTTCTCCCGTGAAGACAGGCTGAGAGAGTTGTTCAGCCTAAAGCACAGAAAATTCTGGGCATACCTTATTGCAGCCTTTGCTTATATAAAGGGGTTTATAAAATAGATGGAGAAAGACTTTTCATCAGGGCGTATTGTTACAGGTCAAGAGGCAGCATTTTAAACTGAAGGAAAAGAAGTTTAGATTGGATATAAGCAGGAAATTTCCATGAGGGTGGTGAGGCACTGTCACAGGTTGCCCAGAGAAGTCGTGGATGCCCCGTCTTCATTTCCAAAATGTTCCAGGCCAGACAGGATGGGACTCTACACAACCTGGTCTAGTGGAAGGTATCCCTCCCCATGGCACAGGGGTTGGAAGTTGATGACCATTAAACGTCTCTTCCAACCCAAACCATTCTGTAACAGTTTTATTCAAAAAATGTTCTGGGTAATGGACAGGTTTGGTTTTGCAAACTCATGCTGATCTGAGAACAAACTAAAGTTTATGTTTCACTACTGTAGTCTCAGAACTGATGCATCTTCTTTTCCTCTTGAATTCCTTGAAAACACTTTTCAGAAGAATTTTATTTCTTATTTCAAAGAGAAAAAAAGAGGTTAAGCTTGCTTAACTTTTATCCCAGAGCCTAACCTTAATACTGATACTTCATTTAATTTCAAAGCATGGAGCATTTATGACTCATTCTAATTTACATAACTCTTCTTATTCTATTATGAAAATGGCAATTTTCCTTTGCAGAGACATATAGAACATGGTCTCTCTTATTGTGTCAAGTAACATTTAATAGCCTTTAGCTGTAACTTGGGACTGTTACAAAATGTCCTCAAGATGAGTCATCTTCATTCATTTATTCTGCAATAGGAAGAATTCATGAATGAGTGATCTGCAGTAATTCACTTCTACAAAGAGAACTCATTCATACATTTCAAACCTGGTTTTCTGAATCACTGTAACGTAGCTGATTATTTCATATTAACAGAAGAAAATTTTGGCTTAAGGAAAATTTCCACAGAAGTCTATGTATTTCTAGTATATGATAAAATTTTCATATATTTAAAAGACCTCTTTTGAAAATAATTTTTTTGGTTTAACACATGGTTACACAGACAAATATGTTCCTATCTATCTAGCAAGAAATGCATGGCGTTTTTGTGAAGTTAGAGACTGACAAATGGTTTAAATTGAAGCTGCATCAAGGGGGAGCACAAGTTGTCACTATCACACAAATCACTAGGCAGGCAAAGAAAATATTTTATAATATCCAAAAAGTATGGCCATTGGCACACAGAAGAGCTCAATCTAAACTATATTTACGTCAAAATACAGACAAGAGAAACCCAACTATGATCCAAGACTGCTAACTACTGAAATATAAAGTAAACATGCTTCTTATTCTACAGAAATAAAGAATAAAATACATGTTATTTTAATTCATTAAAAGGTCACCCAAATAAAGGAATGGAATTCACCAAGGATCAAGGGTCCCTTAACCATCACTGCTCTCCTGCCATCCTTAGAGATTTAAAACCAGGAATTATTCTGAAGAGTCTTTTCAATCAATATTATTCACTCAGTATTCTACTGTCATGGAAGAGGACCACAGCAAAAAGTTGTTTCTAACTTAATGTAGTTCCAAACCAGTCAAAGCTTTACAGACCACCTGTGAGAGCAGGCGTGGTAAGTCAGTACAAAGACCTGCATGCAAATGAAACATTTTCTTCAGAAGCATAGTTCAGAGAAAATGCATCACATGCTTCTCCATTAATTAGTGCTTTAAGTTTTCATTACTTCATTTACTCAAGGACAGCTCTAAACAGTCACTTTATTCACACCTCTCCTTTCTCCTGAAGAGACACTAACTCTCATCATTTTCAGGTTGAGAAATATTACCCGATGTTTACTCAAGGACAGCTCTAAACAGTCACTTTATTCACACCTCTCCTTTCTCCTGAAGAGACACTAACTCATCATTTTCAGGTTGAGAAATTTTACAGTGTTGCCAAAGTAAGGACAGTTCTCTTTAAAAATAGAACAGATGAAAGTACAGCTCAAAGATTAACAGAGAATCTGAATATTTCCAACAGGCAAATATTTGAATGCAAAAAACCCCTATTAACATTATGGTTAGATTTATTAACAATCCACATTGACTTCAGCAGACAGCACAATATCAAGGTGAATTGACCAGCAATAAAGCACAAGAGAGATTTAGAATCATTCAAACTAATGTATCTGGCTATCTGGGATCCATAAACAGCTCGCTTCTTCTCAACTTCCACTCTTTCATTTTAGTATTATATTTACATAATTTCAATTTTTTATATCATATATCACTGAAAAAACTGCATATGTGTTCTTTGCAGAGACTTTTAAGTTGGAGAATTTAAGAGATTTTTAAGTCAGTCATCTTCATGCTTGCTTTCTAAAAATAAACATCTTTGTGCATTTATCCAAACCATTCTCATTATATATTTCCACATCTATAACTATGATTTCAACTGAGTGCATACAGTGAAGAAAAAAAATCAAGAAACTGATGTGAGCTTTCTTTCTTTCAAGACAATGCAAGACTCCTGCAGCTGTAACCCACTTTGCAGACTGATAATCCATTTTGTAGACAAGTCAAGGGCAAACTATGTTTTTGTGGCAGAACAAAAAAGGACCAATACCAAATTACTCTCTATAGTTTACACCATCTAAAATAGCTTATTTTATACAAATCTCTGCACAGAAAACCAAACAGTAAACACACCTCATTATATGCTGCAATACGTATAATGAACAAGGAACAGCATCAATTACTAAGAGAATTTCTTAAGGAAGACAGACAACAACAACCCAAAAGGTAGTAAGATCCATTGGCACAGCACTCAAAAACACAGAAATGTCTCAGAAGTGGCAAGAAGAGACCAGCAAAGCAATATTCAAAAGATCAGGTGCAACCCAGGTTCTGTATGAATATTGCTGAATTCACAGATATGAAAAAAACTTTATACCCTTTATTTTATTGACAACTATAATCCACAATTTCATCTCCAGGAAGGGGGAAAGACAGGAAGAATATCTATATGACAGGAGGTTTGACAAAAGCTGTGGTACTGATTTGGGATGTAGTTTTCCAGATTGCAGTGCCATTTTTCAGGGAAGTTGTAAAGACTGTACCTCAGCTTACACTTGGTGAGTCCCAGAAACAATAATCTGATAACTTGCTCATGCTCACTTTCATATATAAAGGATGAAGAAATCCACAGCTGAATCAAATCACAATAGCAAGCTGCCTGCTCCGAAAGCAAGAGGCACTAGGCAAGGATAAAAGCTGTACCATGGAAGGTTAGAACCATATCTGTAAGGATATGATGTTAATATTTTTGCAGTTCATTAAACAATTCCTGCTTTGAAGACAATCATGCCAGGAAAGTGTCAATTCATTCTCCACCAGTGAGACCATTTGATAAATCAAAAATTAGAACCAAACATGCAACACATGCCACTTCCCTCAGTATTTTGTGCAATATAAGCAAAATATATCTTATCTTTTCTTTAAATTGAATTGCAATACAAAAATAATTTTATTTCCCTCAGTACTGTCAAATAGTTATTACATATCATGTTTCAAGTAAGCTGTATAGAATGGTGAGTTGCAACACTGATCCATTGGTGGCTCAAAGGATGCAAGAATACCATGCAATCAGCCCAGTCTTGAAATATTGTGCTAACAGACACATAAACTTTAAGAACTGTCAGTATAAACTTAATTACCATCTAAGGCCTCCTTTGAATCAGTTGTTTTGTAGCCAATGGACCTGCCTATGACACTGGAAAGCAGACCTTTGAGCTCTTCCCAGACTAGACAGAAGAGGGAAAGGAGATGGAAAATGTTTGCTTCAAATTTCCAGAACAGTATCTGTTGGGGCTGGGCCAACATCCAGAAAAAAAAAAAAAAGAAAAAAGGATGGATTCACTGGTCCAGATGATGACAAGCAAAAATGTGACCCCGTAACTGAATGTGTGGGTACTCTCTTCCAACACAGTAAAATAGTATTCTGTGCAGCAGCAATAGCTGATTGCTCATTTCTCACAGTACATTTATGTTTAACTGGTAGCTCTGGTGATTCAGAATAGAAAACACCCAAACTGACCATTGCATAAGGGCATGCTATGCTTAGATGAAATATTTGTATTTTGAAGCTGCACATGCTAGAACTCAGAAATAATGCCATTTGGCCCCTAGAGATAATGAGAAACTAGGTGGGAATAACTGACAGGGAAACAACATCCACATCATAGCAAAGAATTAAAAAATTTAACTCAAGCCATATTAACAGTTTGAGCTTTTAATTTGAGGTCTGTGAAATAAATGAGCTTAGTCAAAAGTTACTACAACAGCCTTTCCATGCTTGCTTTGCAATCTGAAAATGTTCCTCCCTTCTCCTCCCCACGAAATTTAATTTAATATAACGTAAGAAAAAGTACTTGGTTTATGACAGTAAAATCTAAATCCCAATGATCCTTAGCACATAATCTTTTAGGTCTTTAAACAGCTCTTGTATTTAAAATAAATTCTGTCATTCTTTTGCTTTCACCACAAATTGCCTTTTATTAATCCTGATTCAGATTCAGAAAATATGAAAATAAATGCATCAACTTTACCTGTAATGCACTGAAACTGTCCATCTTCTCTTCTTATTGTAAATGCTTCCCCTGGATTAACTTGCACAAGAATAACCTTAAAAATAAAAGAGTGTTTACAACCATTACACAGGAATATGTTACAGAAGTCTGGTATGTTCAAAAAAAAAGTTTTACTGGGAAAAAACAATTTGTTTATTCTGGTTAGTAAATACATTATTTTTCACTTCACACTTCTTGCTGTCTTCATCCCACAGAGAAATAGATAAGACAAGAACAAGCACAGATATTTTTAAACAAACATTTTTCAAAGAATGAAAGAGAGAATAACAGCTAAGTAAAACAGTACCTGTATGAATTTTATTTTCTCAACTGCTTGGTATAATTAAAAAGCTATTTGTACAGCTTAAATTATTTCAACAAATCGCATTAACTTCAACATTAATCAAACCATTACGTAAATTTTCAGAAGGAAGCCTAGAATTCCCAGTGCTTGACATCAATCACTTCACAAACAGTTTTCAACACATGGAAAATACTGTGTCATGTCCCTCTTTACGTGACCCAAGCATATTTGTACATTCATTAATGATAAAAAAATATTAGAAGTCATGACAAAGTAAGTGTACCAGATGCCCAGCATGAAACAGTATGCATAATTTTATTTGTGGAAAGCTGGTAATCCCAATTTTGTAAACCCATGCAATGCAGAAATGATAGCAAAGCACACAGCAGCCAAAATAAACAGAGAAAGTCTGTACCAAAGCAGAAGCCTGTTACCATTTTAGATTTCTGTACTTTTATTTGAAACCTGCCCTTCTGTGAGGAAAAGAAGTTTGTAAACATGAAAAACCTAGCTAAAATTGTGAACAAAGGAGAAAAAAAAAACTTTAAAAAGTAGAAAAGCAGGTGCATTTTATAATTTCCTTTCTGGATAGAATGTTCTTCAGTCTTGCTTGCACACATCTAAATAGAGCCTATGTCCTCCTCCCTCTACAAATCAGTAGGAAAGAAATCTTTAGAAACACAACTCCTGACCATTATGGCCAAAAATTTACTTTGTTAAATTGCTAAAATAAAATAAAATCTTTCAAGGAGACAAAAACACAACCAACCAACCAACCAACCAAAACCCCCAGAACTGGAAACTTGAGTGTTAATCATTTTAGGAATACTAGAGACAAAGGAAAAGATAAGAAAATGGCAGAAATAATATGAATTCCTCCCTTTCTGGTGGAGCAATTTCACAAATTAAAGAAAAGATGGCAAGTTCTAACACTAACATATTGATGAGATATCATAGACATTCACATTTTCAAGCTTAGGCTGTGTGAGTCAACACTGATTAGCTTGGGTTCAAGCAAGCACTTTAAAAATACTATCTTGTTTCACATGTTTTTTCTAGAAGCTTTGGCTGTTTGAGAAAAAATAATGAACTGTATCAATATTTACATTTTTATCAAACTATTACATCTTTCAGATCTTCTGAAGTGTGGCTTACTGTAAAATTCAGTTAGCATTCATAATATAATCTAAACAAGATGATTTTAGTAATGAATTTCAAAGAAGACAAAGGTCTTCAGAAAATACTGTATTGCCAGAGTATATTTTGAAGTGATTGAAGGTAGCATCTTAACAACTGGCTATCATCACCTTCAGAATGTGATGAAGCAGTGAAATAGGAATAGATGAGTTCTTAAAATTTCTTTTTTGGACTTCCCAAGCAAGCATAACTTTTTCAAGACATATTTCATTGATATACTCTTCCCTCTGCTACAATTGAAAATTTTAGCTTGACGTTTAGACTGGTATAAAAGTACCTAAAAGCTTTCATGGTACATGAGAATGTCTCTCCATCTGTTATGTGTGGGCTGGATAGCTACATTTGCCCATCTCTTTCGGCTGATTTAGGTGCCCAAACTCCTGGGAGGAGCCATTCTGGCTACAGCTGACATGTCAATCTGCACCATTCTCAGCTCAATATTCCTGGTCACCATCATATGAACTGTGAGAAACAGAAATGCTTTAGGGTGATGTCTAGCCCTTGATTCCTGCTTTTAAAGGAACAGGGAATGTGGGTTGACTGTATTTCCAGTTGTCCCTGTTTATGCTGTTGCCTGAGGCTGGTGGTCTGGGTAATAATGCTGTTGTAGGAACTTGCTGGCATTCCTGCCCCAGACCTCTTGCTGCAGGCCATCCAAACCTGAGGTCCAGCTGGCAGGGTGGATTTGAGCATGGGAACACATACACACTGGCCCAACTGCAGCAAGTGGGCCCTGTGCCTCCTGGTTTTGTGTTAAATCAGCTTCTCCTGTGTGAGCATCTTTGTTGCTCACTTCACAGCTGCTCTGAGAAGCTAAAGGCTCAGCATGGCAGCCATGGTGCAACAGTGAGACGGGCATTGCTCAGCAGCAGCAACAGGTCAACTGATGGAGTCCAGCACCATTCTGACACTCAGGATGCCATCCAATTTTCACATCTCTGATGACATCCAACTGCCAATCCAAAGAGTGGGGAGACTCACCAACTTCATGCAGTTTAATTAGATCTCAGCTCCCAGAATCAGGACATAGAATGCATTTTGTCAATGGACAATTAGCCTACTTGATGCCTGATTGTATTTCATTGACTCCCACTTTCAGCCTTGCTTTAATGTAGTGCATTCACATTTTTATTTTACAACCATTACAGGGTAGGCTGTGTATCCTGCCAAGTGTGCCAAAAGAGATTCTGAAGCAGGGTTGAAATTTCAGAAGTTTCAATAACTGCTGGCTTCAACAGTCTTTATGTTAGGGCAGTGTATGACCAAAAGAGGTTTCTGGACCAACCTTATCACAGTTGAACCCCATGGAGTGATCACAGCTTTGAGAAGGGCATTTCTGACACTCTGCACCTCAGTAGATATGATTTGAAATAAGAAAAATTAAAGCTATGCATGGAGAAAGATTGATACCTTTCTAGTCAGAAGAGATAGTACAAAAGACTGACAGTCACTCACAGGAATTCCCCCTTATCTAATGAAAGTCTGCAGCACATAATCAAGGTGCAAGAAAATTTCTCTAAAGGAAAATGTAACACGGATTTTACATAGCATCATGTCCTAGGTAAAAAAAAAAAAAAAAAAAAAAGAGAAAAATAAATCTATGGGTTGCTTATTTATAGCTCTTTCAACTCATTTGAGGTGCCCTTGTGCAGGCTTGCACACCCCATCAGCCAACATGTTACTTCATGCACCCTGACATCAATGCTTCTGAAAACCAGGGCCTGACTCTTTCACACTAAATATTCTAGATCTTGACCTCCTTCATCTTCTGGGCAAAACAGTCAAGTTGGCTTGAACTAAGAGAAAAGCTTTGTAAAAATCTGATGGTTCAGCCTCTCTTCCTGTGCCTCAATCTTTTTGTGGCAAATTGTGTTGCTTTACTCACAGCACCCAAGTTCTGCTATCCAAAGGCTGACATGCATTTTACCCTTCGCCTCCTCCTCTAAAGTAACTATGATATTCAGATAAAAACCTCATTTGTGATGAGTCAGTCTCAGTGGGAGGCACCTTTAGCATGGGCACTTTTCAAGGGCTATTTCTCTTACTAAATAAACAAAACACTAATAGAGAACTTCACAATCTTAACAAAAAAATGTGAACTTGGGATACTGAAGCCTTGATACAAGTTCTAGAATCATACAAGTACTTTTAAAGCAACACCAACTATAATGGAACTTAATAAAATTTAAAAGTGAATTTCTGAAAGCTATCAGAATTTCGACTTAATGTATTTTTGTCTCAAATCATGTTAAGGCATTGCCATTAAGAAATAGGAGTATTAGGTCAACTAGTTCTATGTAATTTCCAATGTGATTATAAATTGTTTCCTTTAAACAGTTGTTTAATGATGATCCACATGACCTCAATACAGTTCCTGATGAAAAACAATATAAAATCTCTTTCCAGAGATTAGCATACAAGCTGACAACACATGAGTGCAGATACACACTTATGTTAAAAGCAGTCCTTGCATAAATAAAAAAGTGGCCACTGAATGGCTGAAGTTTGAAATACCTGAAACATCAGTTGTCAAAACTGTTAGGTTTAGGAGTGAAATTTCACACTTTTCACTGGTACTTAATTTATTCTATATAGGCTACTTTAGAAAATAAATCCAAACCAAATGAGCAACATAGTAAGCTTTATAGTAGTTTAATTTAATTGCCCAGATTCGCACAGACCTCCTAACAAAAAGCCTTCTAACAAAACTAATAATGCCATGTATTAGAAAGCTCAGTGTGTATTTCCTGAAACTGCTGTTTGAACTCAGGCTGAAGCTGAAGCCAAGCAAGAACTTAGGAAATGACCTGATGGTCTGGGTCAGCAGCCCATCTAGGCAAGTGCTTTGACTCTAATGTATCAACTGAGATGCTGTTTAAGGAGAGTGTGTGAGCCAGGCCACTTTCTGCAAGCCATCTCTCCTACTGTCCATATGTTTCCCTAAACTCTTTGAGCTCACTCACAATTTGAATTGCCTCCACAACTTCCTATGGCAGTAAGTTCCTGAAATTTTATTTTTAGACATTTAAAAGCCGTCTCCTACTAATTACATGTTCCCTAGCTTCTCTGCTATGGGATTTGCTGAAAAACAGCTCTGAATAAATTTCATCCACCTCCTTCAATATTTCTTAAGTCTTGGCAATTCCCATGTCCTTGTACCCAGTCTGCAAACCAAGGAGTTTTAATATTCCTGATCTCTCCTGGGAGATCTGCTACATTGCCTTGACCACATCAGTGATATGTAAAGCCACATTTACTTAGCAAAGTAAGCAGTACTTGGGAACATTCCCAGATGCTGGAACAGTCACCTGCAATAACGAACATGCTATGGTAGCCCTGAGCATAACACAGTCCATACAGAACTGAAAACTGTTCCTGAGATCACTCTTACCAGGCAGTTTGCAAGAAAAGATTTACTAAAACTGACTTGTTTCACAACACAGTCTCAGTCTCCACGAACATTTGGAGCATATTTAAAGTACTAATATATAAACAATTACTGACAGTACCCTGAAGAAGCCTTACAATATTATAACTTTTTGAAGGACTAAATAAGGGACACACTCTAGAATGGTTTTGAAAATCTATTTTTCACCTTAAATCAAAATTTGAGCTGGGCGGATGTGGCAAATAGATTTTTAGAACACAGTAATGCTCTCCCTACAGAATTCCAAATTGAATATAATTTTATTGCAACTCAAGTAGTATAATAATATCCTACAGAGATGCGTAACACCAACTTGCACATACTACCATTAACAGATATAATTATTTTAAATTATTATATCTTAATATCTCATATAGGATTTATTATTACATCAGTGTGAGCAGGATGGAAAGCATTTAGATCTTGCATCTAAAGAATCAATGGAAGTACAAATGTTCAAGGAGAAGAATGCTCAATGTTACTTTTTTTGTTCAGTAAAACTCTTCACTGTCTACAAGAAAAAATACAGGATGTTTCTGCAGACTGAAGCAGGAAAGGAGTTCAATGTTTTTTTCAAGTCTTCAGCTTGTTTCTAACACGAAAGAAATGAATTTGATAAAGATGGCTGGAGTCATAAAGAAACTCCTGTAAGAATGCAAGTAACAAAAGGTGGAAGAGAAAGCTGTGCAAGGCAGAGCTGCAGCCACTTTGACTCAGCAGGCTGCTCCAAAGAAAGGAAAAACTTAAGGCCAAATGTTAACACTTACCTCCATAAAGGTCTAGAAGTAATTTTTATCAGCAAGAAGTACAGGCTGCAGAAGCCCAAAAAAGATCCTTCAAGGTATTTCACTCTGCCAATATGGTCAAGGCAGTGTCTTTCAAAAGCAAAACAGCAACAATACAAAATACAGCTGATTTGTATCTAACTAATCTTTGTCATTAGGTATACAGAATACTTTCATAAGCACCCCAAGATTTTTCTTGTGTCAGAAGAATATACAGTTATTTCTCCACTGGAGCACAGTGAGGGCAGAATGGAATTTAAAATACAGTGTTAGCTAATCTTGTTTTGGCTAAATTTGTTTGCACAATAATTAAGGCCAAAAGGCCCATTAACTCCACTGAAATAAATTAAAACCAGCCCTTCATTCTGTAAGATACGCACTTCTACAAGCTTGTCTACTTGAATGTCCATCCTCCTAACAGAAGTAGTGATGTACCAGGACACGGACAGATTTCAAAATAATTTCAGCTGCCTGACAGAAAAGAAAGGCAGCTTTAGACTTGTGGCATTGTCACTAACGTATATTTACATTGCAACTTGAAGGAAAAAGCTTCCCTGGTACTTTTCAGTGGAAGAAAAAGTGACTAACTATAAATAGCCTTGCACAATTAATAACTGGTCTCTGTCAGGTGTTAAGTAAGAAAGATGGAAACATAAACCTAGGGACATCATTGTGAAATACTAATATCAAAATTGGATTCATCCTGAAAAGGACCCTAGATGAGGTGAAAGACTTGCAGAGCAGAAAAACAAAAACAGATTAGGACTAATCCCTAAGCATTAGCATCTTCACTGTTTTAAGGCACCATCTTTCCATAAAAGAAACTGTAAATACAATTAGAAGTCCAAACTATTTCTGTCCCCATGGGAAAAAAAAAAAAAGCTGATACGTAAATAATGAAATAAATCAAAGAGCTCTAAAAGCTAACTTCGAAAGATCTCACAGCAAGTTTGACACATTTCTCTTTTGCTCACCATTGTATGTGTAATAGCAGGTCTCAAATAAAATTTAAAAGACTAAAGAGAAAAGCTTCCTCCCCAAACAAACACACACCATACAGCCAATCAAAAACTAGTACCTCAGAATTATTTTGTTATTTCTATCAATTACATACATGCAGTGGACCTATAAGGCAAAAGAAATTTTATTTGATAAAAAATCCACATATTCAAAATATTAAAAATACTCTTAATTTATTGTTTAGCTTCTAAAAATTTGAATTTAGTCCAAAGTAAAAAAAAACCAAAATGACCAAAACCTACAAAAACCCCACAACATAACAACTCAACACCCAAAAACCAAATAATTGTGTTTAGAAGTACACTAGATGCTCTTTTACACAGACACAAAACAAAACAAATCCAGAATTAAGACATTTGTTAACCTTCTCCTTCACACTGCTCTTTAAAGTTATGAGAATCTTCCTCATTTGGACAATTTTTTGCAGATCAGATTTGAGTAAGGTTTATGGAAGAGAGTTTAACTTACTGTTACCAAATCATAATGATCTTAAATATTATACATTTTAGAGCCAATGTATCTGTATTTCTAACAGGACAGGACTGACTGAAACAGTTTCTGATTCTTCTAAGCCAGCACAAACATCAAGAGAATCAAGTCAGATACAATAAAACTTTGTTTGCAAGTTTGGTATTTACAGCCAAATTTTCAAATCTTTTCTAGCACGTTAACACACTGTGTTATCCAAATAAATGCTTTTAAAGCATTAAAAGATTCTCTATCTGTAAAATAAATTATTAGCTACTAAATGTAAAACATCATTAAAAAATTTAGCTTTCCTAATAATTACAGGTTTATTCCAAAACAGCTAAGTGTTAGCTGAAAAACTGAAACTATAATTTTACGATCTCCCACTGGGATATGGGAGAAGGAAGGCTTTTGTATCTGCAATAAAGAAAAATAAATCATCAAGCTTGTTCTGTCTCCAGAATATCTTGGCTCTCAAACCCATCCTCCAGTACCAAAGACTATCAGCTTCCTGAAGGGGAAAAGACAAAGGTTAATTTTTTAAATCCTGACTGAGACTAAACAAACCAAAATACATTAAACATCTGTGTCATGTGTGAAGTTGTGGGATAAGCCCACATGAGAACTGGCACTCTGTTCTCGCCGTATGTTAGCATTGTCTATGGCCACAAAGGCAAGAAAGCCAAAGGAACCAGACTGAATTTCAGTGTAAAAGTGCATTTTGAATGCTTCTATCTCCCCAGACACCCGCCCCCTCACTCTGAAGGAGAAAGGAACTGAAGGGGTTACTTTGTATCTTCCTCTAAAAGAAGTTAAATATGCTTTGTGAATTTACATATTTTTCCAGAATGAGTGAAATCTGGGACAAATTTTCCAACCAATCTAAAAGCCTCTGAACATATATAACTAGAAAGCTAACAGCTCTACCAATAAATATATCATAACAAACAAACAAACAAAGCAATCCTTTAGAAACAAAGCAGATTCCTAGCCTGGCATACACATTAAAATATTAAAAAATGCAGGACGTAAGATGTGAAGGAAAAAGTGGAGGGGGGAGGGAAGCTAGAACATGGTACAATAATTTTAGTCATTATTAATATTAAATATATAACATGAAGAAGTAAGAGTATGTTACATTACAAACTGTGGCTAAAGCACACTTAAATGTAACTATATAGTAAGAGACTGCTCTGTACAACAAGGAAGATTACAAGTTGGAGCAAAACAATATTACTAAAAAGCAGAGTTCTGTTTTTCCCTCATTCTGAAGTGGTTTTGGGGAATGTGTGTGTTTTTTAGGGTTTGGGGTTTTTTTTTTCTACAAACAAACTTCCTAAAAAACAAGAAGGTAAAGTGTTCCAAAATGCTTGCTTGGACATTTAAAACCATAATTTAAATATAACAGAATCACAAACCACTTCTATACTAGCAGAAAGAATACTATTTTCTGAGACGTTTTACTAGGAAAGAGAAGAGTGTTTCAGGCTTGGGTGGTTTTTTTTGGGTTTTTTTTTGTTGTTTTGTTTTTGTTTTTGCTTTTTTTTTCTTTAATTAATCTTAAAACATCTATATTTAGCATTATATGGTTGTAGGTGCTGAGTCAGTAGCAAAAGATTGCCAGCAATCACAAATAATGGAAAGAGTTCACCAAAATCGTATTTCTAAATGCACTGCTAATACAAATCAACATGAAAAAAAAAAAGACAGCAGTGGTTTGTCTAAAAATACTGCAACTGAAATTAGCTCAGCAGTACTCATGAGAAGATTTTTACCCAAAAAGACAAAGGTAGATTAATTCTTGAATATTTTTCAAATTTAGGAAGACATCGTAGCTAATACTCTTGGTCATTCTGACTTCAAAAAATTTTAAAACACTGAACCTGTTAAGAGGGTGGTACAGACAAGCTCTTCATAAGATGTACACTGTATCTTTAACAATCTGTCTGCAACAAGATTATAAAAGGGTGTATTTCTAGAAAAGACACAACTTCCAGGCAGAGCCACATTTATGCTCTGTCATTAGGGCACGTATTCAGAACAATTACATTTTTCTCCACTAATAGTTGCAATCAAGATGTTAATTAGTGACATGCTTTATCTCATAACCCATTTCAAAAGCCTTAGCACTTTGACTTACTGTTGCTCGCATCCTTTTATTTCTCTCATTCAACTGGTGCTACCACAGTGACAAAGGATGAAGGAAGATTCAACAGGCACCACTCCGGCTGCTCCAATCTGTTCCATTCACTCAGTACTGAGGTAATCTTCGGGGATGTGTGGAACACTGCCCCCCCTTCCTGTGAACAGGGCACCTAAACCTGAACGCCACGCAGGAGGATCTCCCTTCACCTTCCTCTATAGCTGTGCATCCACCAAGCATGTGGAGGCAGGATGTGAAAGGTAGGATCAATTAACAATATAGTCAGCAATACCTACCTCAAGCCTTCCTTCCTATCAAATTAGCCAACGTACAGTGAGCTTCCTGCTGTACATGAATGTATCATGTCACCATAGCAACTAAATCAACAAATAGCTGCTGCAGCATCTGCTTCTGGATCATCTAACGTCAGTCAACAGAAGGTTCGGGTTTAAGAGAACAAAGCTTCCAAATATATGCCGTTTTATAACTGCATTTTTAATTTAGCCTCCTGATTCCCAGATAGGCTATTACTAACTCAGGATGAACCAACTTCTGACTTTATAATCTGCGATACAGTTTATGACTTCATTTCTCAAGTAAGCCAGAAAGAGGGGAAAAATACTCTACTCTGCAAAAGAATAAAAAGAAACAGCAAAGAAATAATCAACTGGATTCTAATGCACTCTCTCAAACACTGTGCTATCTTATAACATGCATTTACTAAGAGACATAAAAAGAAAGAAGCATGTTTCTGAAGTTTGCTTTATAATTTACATATGTCTGCCCTAAATAAGACTATAGACAGAAATATATTTTATGAAATATTAATATTAAATACATTTCAGATAGCTGACAAATATGGTTTCCCTCTCTTAGTCTCCACTTCAGAGCTAAACTGAAAACATCCAGTATTGTTTTCTGGCAACCTCACATCTGCAGTTTTTAATCCCAACAACAGCAGGGGACCACTGGCACACCCTCACCTGAAGAAAGACAGATACACAGAAAAGCACACATCCCTCTCTTGTGAGAAATTACTTCAAATACCACTTGTGCACCACTGGTTTAAATCCTAACCCATAGGCAGACAAGATATAGAAAACTGCTTTGAAATTGTCTTGGTATTCAGAATGCAACAAGATGAGAGTACAGATTAAATGTCATCTAAGGTATAAAAAAATTCTAACATTACTAACATCTAATGTCTTCAAATGTAATAAGTAAGTGTACAAAGACACAGACACTTTTATGTAAAAGGACTCAAAGCTACAGCCTACTTAAATAAAGAAAAAGTAACTTTCTTTTAACTTCAAGTCATACTCCTAACATTTGATCAGCATGAAATTATTTACCAAGTAAAAGCTTTCTAGGCAAAAAGTATTGGTTATTCAAATCCAGTATAATTTTATTATTAAAAACACCTACTTTTAGTTTTCAAAGCAGAGGTTTTTCCACCCATTTTTTGTTACAACAAAAATCATTACATCTAGATTGGGTCCAGAGCGTGGTCCAGTGAGCAAGGAAAACTAGATGCAGACTCAAGATACTAACATGGCTGTGGCTGCCATACTGACTTACTGTGATTTGTGCCTTTGTCACCTCACCTATGCCAGAGTTCCCATTTGTAGGGCTAGTCCAACAATATTTTTAAGTTCCTACATGCTACTGGATCAAAGAATGCTGCAAGACTTGAGTGTTTTTATTCATTAGTAGCACAGAAATTGCCAGATGGAATCACGTCTGTGGTCGAGCTAAGGTGATGTCAGTTACAAACACAGCACAAGTTGTTTTTCCACTGACTGTATGTTCAAAATCTGCTGCTTATATCATAACAAGGCTAATGAGGCTATGAACTACTCTTTTCCATAATCAAGCCCACTATTATTTAAAAAACATATTAAATGGAAAAATGTAAAAGATGTAACAAGCCTTACAGAGAGTATATGACTATTAAATAGGAACTCCTGACATCAGTAATAAAAGCTAAATTAAAACAGTACTTTAAATTGTTTTAAATTGCCAAAGACTTGTGTATTTCATGGTCATGAAGTGTTACTTCCAAGTACTTCTTTCTTGAAGTCATCTTTCAAAAGACCTTTCTGCCTCCCATCTTCTTTTAAACTTAATAAAAGCTTCCTCTCCCACGTTGGCTACTAACTAATAAAGAATTTTGAAAACTTTAGATTAAGCTTTGTACCACACCAATTCATAGCAGACTCAGCACACAACATTTCCATGTTATCTATAAGGAAATGTTAGAATTTTCTTTTTTACCTTAAATGATCTCCTGGTTTTAGTATCAAAGACACACAAAAACAGGTTTCCCATCATTATTTACAGAAGCATCCTATAGACTTTGGTCTTTGTCCAAGTAACGTGATGCAACACTCTTAAACACCAACATTCTAAATCTTCTAGTTTCCACTGTATTTTTTTGAGCAAATTCCAGTTTACAGGTTTCCTGTGACTAGGCAATTCTCTACCCTGGCATCTGCTACTACTGACTGTAAGGATCTAACTGCTCTAGATATGAGGTTTAAAATTTCTTCATGAAGCAGAGTAAAGATATGGGCAGTAAAGGGCATTAACAAATCTTGGATTTCAGGACGAGGGAGGAAAGCCACACAGAATTAATTGTTACATAATATGTTGCAATAGCAATTTACATGCTGGGCATTTTGAAAAAACAAATACAATCCAAACAATTTCAGCTTACAGAGACAGTAGCTGTATATTTGGAAAAAAGTGAGTGAAAGAAGCCATCTTTCCAGTGACATGCTTCTAAGGCATGTCTTTTCAGAGGACAGACCAAGCAATTCTGCATCATTTTTCTAAAAGGCAGCTGACAGGTAATAAAATCAGTAAACATTTAATCTTTAACCATTGCTACAAGATACTGTCAGCACCACTGACTGCACTAAGACAACAGAATATCCCTAGGAGCGACTGGAAACAGGTAGATGGGAAAGAAGCTGAGACTGTTCATTGGCACTGGCATTCAAAAACTATAGATGTCAATAAACTTTCATTGCTCTTTGCAGAAAAGCAGGCTGGAAAGATCCAAGAATTGACGATTTTTTTTTTCCTAGAAAACAAATTTATTTATGAAAAGTTTTTAAAATTCTTAGTGTACTTGTGCTTCTCCCCCTTCTTTTCAAGTAGATGATCAGTTAAAAAAGCTGACCACTAAGCAGGGGAGGCAAAGATTATTTCTAGCCTTGTTTTGTAAAAACACAAAGATTTTTGAGAAGAACCAGTAAAAGATAAATGTTAAATTCTGCATTGAATGTCAATGATAAACGTTCAAGACTTGTTAGTGTCCACATATAACAGTGCCAATCAGTGTACATTCCACAAGTGTCTGTCTCATTCTTTAGTATTAAGAAATAATTACAATTTTGATCTACTTGCTTCTTCTCTGTCTCTTCTCTTTTGCATTCTCGGTTCTCACAGCTTGCCTAAGCTAAGTTTTATTTGCCTCATTTACAGCAAACCCAGTCTGTCTCATTAGCATTTACACAGTCTGTGGTTAGCAGATAGTGCACAGAAAATTTGCTGCTTAAAATAATACCACTATTATATCTTTAAATTAGCGAAAGTATAAACATAAGGATAACACCAGTGTTTCAAGGAATCTGGATAATGCAACAGACAAACATTTGGGCTTCAAAGTTTTAAGCTAATCCATGTTTACAGGGAATTAAAAGGAAGCAGTGTTAGGGACAGTCACTGAACTCTGGAACTTTCTGAGGCATCAGGTCACAGTCCATGGTTAGACACATCAACCTCTTAAAAATAAAAACTGTAATACTTCAATCAGATCATTCTCATTTCATGATTTGCTGTTTGAAGTCCCTAGAAATTCAGCTTCACGATGCTAAGCAAAAGTGGGTGAGAAACAGAGTTCACACTGCACAGCAAACAGGCAGCAAGGGCTAACTAAGGTTTCAGCTAATACTTCAGAGGGGCTAGTCCCATCACGAGGCATCTTCCCTGATCAATCTGCCTATTTGCAACAGTCCAAATGCATTATGGACTAGAAGAGAATTTTGTATTTCCCAACATTGCTTCTGACAGCTCAGATTCCTGTTTGCTGATATAGCAAGTTAAAAGCCCATAATATTTAACCTGGATGGATGTGTTTATTTTTTTTACCCTAAATACAGTATAAAAAAAAGCACCAAAGGAAGAACAGTGTTTTCTAGTTATTAAAAATAGCATTTATTAAAAAAAATCAAATGTTAAGAAATTCAATATCACTTCTAAAGAAGCCTTTTTAACCCTGAAAAAGTACCCTATATACCTAGTTTTGTGTAAATATGGGTACCACTGCATATCAAAACAGTGTGACAACACAAACTTGAGCTGGAAGAGAAATTAAAAAATATATCTCAATTAGATCAGATTGGAATGACTTAGTCAGTAATGGACCAAGGACTTGGTGGAAGAAATCTCTACAATCTCAATCCTTTCCCATGTATTTTATCCTCTACTTCAAAAAGAGAGGGAGAAAAAGCAAAGCCAACTGACATTTTTTGCTATAGAATGTAAACTAAAGTCTGAATCTATCTGTTTCTAGAGAAGGTCATTCTACCTGCTCTGTGAAGTGTGTAATTCTGTAACATGTAGAGGGCTCATAGACTTTACCCAGTCATGGCAAAGTCTCAATCTCTAGGGAATGGAATATGACACACTACTTTAGTGGGAAGGGACCTATGATGATCATCTAATCCATCTGCCTGACTGATTGAGGACTGACCAAGCTGACATTCAGGGCATTGTCCAAACGCCTCTTATAATACATACAGGTTTGGGACTTTGGCCACAGCTCTAGAAAGCCTGTTTCAGCACTTGACCACCATCTCAGTAAAGAAATGCTTCCTAGGGAAAAAACAGGTTTCAGCTAGCTGAGGATGTACCTCAGGTAACTTATTTGCCAAAAGTGTAATTCTTGCATATTTTAAGAGGGGATTTGAGGAAACATAGGTAAGCACTTGGGGTGACTGTGTAGGTCTTGGAGTCTGCCATTCAGGTCATGGCTTACTCAGCATTAAATGTCCCATGTCACAGAGGAGGGGAGAGATGGGGACATGCCTGGGTCCTGGACACTGTTCAGGCATAACTGTACCCTTCCAAACCTTATTGATTGATGAGCACACAGACCCAGCTACCAGGCTGCACAGAAAAACCAAGCTATCTCAATGCTTATAGCTCCAGGCAATTTGCACCTTCTCACCTCATAAAAAAAAAAGAGAAAGAGAACAAAAAAGTACAGGCCTTTAGTCACCTTT